GGAAAAGTTCTTTAAAAGTGTCATCACATTGTCTGAAAGTCCTTCTGAGGGAGGTCTGGAGCAGGGTTTATAATATCTGCTTTCGATAATTAGTAGCAAAAGAATTTACTAATATCACTGTGGAAAATTATTTTAAAGTATCCATGTACAGTAGAGTAGGGAGGTAATCTACTAAAAAATTGGTCTCAGGAGCCAGCCCTGATGGCCTAGTGGTTAAAGTTTGGCACGTGCCACTTTGGCAGCCCTCCTTCTGTTCCCAGGCATGGAACCATGCCACTCATCTGTCAGTAGCCATGCTGTGGCAGCGGCTCAGATAGAAGAACTAGAAGGACTTGTAATTAGAATATACAACTATGAACACGGGCTTTGGGGAGGGAAAAGGAAAAAAAAGAGAGAGGAAGATTGGCAACAGATGTCAGCTCATGGTGAATCTTTCCCAGCCAAAAAAAAAAAAAAAATTGGGCTTAGGTATATATCTCAAGTCCAGTTACTGGAATCCCCAAAGTCACTTTTTAGAAAGAAAAACTTGGCTGATGTTATGGATGTGTTTCTTAATTCAATACAGATTTATTGAACACTATCTGTACAGACTTTGCTACCAGAGGAGGCTCAAAGCAATAAAAGATAAAATCTTTACTCTCTACATTACTGAATATTTTTATTTTTAAGATAAAATTAATATTTTAAGCTTCCTGTTTAATAGGTATTATTAGTGGAAGCCACTAATAATAATTCACTAAGAGTGAATGGTCACCATCAGTGCAAGATCAAAGTACTGGGGAGCATAATTCAAAGAGCATGTTTGTCATTAACGGCTAATCACTATGTCAAGATGATTTTTTAAATGCCAAACTCTTGACTCCTGCTTCCCATTCCCACTGTGGCTTGGTACATCTAAAAGCACAGGGTAACTTGGATGTTTGAAGTAGGAAAAGCTTTACCTAGTAGTTACTTAGTTCAGCATAACTAAGGTAAAACTAGCCGCAAGGATCTAGGTCTCCGCTTATCGGTACTGCCCAGGGCTGTATAACCGTCATTTCACTCATGATCATTTTATACCAAACTACATGCTAATACAGCTGGAGAGCTCAGACATGACTCCACTAGAGACTGAGAATGTTCAGACCCAATTTATTGGCCACTCTGCTCCTCATTTCCATTTCTCCCCCCAACGTCCCCAATCCTTTGGGTTTCCTAATTTCTATTACCTTAGAATTTCTTAAAGCTTTACGTTTTGCTATGTGTTCAGTTCTACTTTTTATTATCGTTTTGTAAAAGTTACAGGTTGACCATTATCTAAAGTGTTCCTTCAACAGCACGGAGTTTTTCTGCAAAGATCTGATAGGAATTCTTTAAAAATGGAGGGTTTTTTTCCATTTAAGTCTTACTTCAACAAGTTCACTGATTTTAGATTTCTTTGACAAACATAGTTGAGGTATCAAAACCCAGACATGTTGAAAATAGCTTTTTCTTGAAGTCATTTAGATTCGAAGACTTTCTGCCCTGCTATGTCAAATTACCCAGCCCTGGAATGAGATGGGTAGACGTGCCTGTCTGTGTGGGGTGGTAGGCAGGCAGGAGATGGAGGATCGGTAAGGAATCTGTATAAAGTAAGCTCACAACGTCCTCCAAAACTGCTATATGTCAGCTCTCCTATTTCCCGGGAGTCTGTCACAGACACTTCTGTCTCAATGTTTGTGGTAAATTAATGATGATTTTCTCTGTTGCTTTGGTGAGACAGCTCCTTTCAAAAGAGGATTTTCCTGGAAGATGAATGCAGTGCTCTTTTTTTCCTTCTTGATATATATAAACAACCTAGTGTGCAAGTGGTATACTTAAAAACCATCTGCATTTTCTCCTATGGCTGTATCTCTTAGAAAACTAGAAGTATCTCAACTGTAAAGCGTATTTGTTAGGTCACAGAATTTTAGAAACTGGTGGTGACCTTAGACATTATCTTGCTTAACCTTCACTTTATAGATAAAGCAAATCAAGCTCTGGGAAGAGAAGCATAGTAGATTAAAGGTGGCTGCAATACCTTGCTGTTCCTTCCACTGGAAGGTGAAGTTGCACACTCCCCCCTCCCACCCCTTGTGTTTGGGCAGGCTCCATGATTGCTTCGACCTATAAAATATGGTGGAAGCGGCACTCTGCCAATTTCTGGGCCCAGGCCTTAAGAGAATGTCAGCGTCTACTTCCTGTCTCTAGCTTGCTCTTGAGAATTCTCAGCTCAGAACCCAGTAACTACGCCGTGAGAAGCTGAAGACACGAGGAGAGGCCATGCATTGGTGCTCCGGTCGACTATCATAGCCGAGCTCCCAGCTGTCAGTTAACATGCACTTTCAGCCACGTGAATGTGCCATCTTCTAGGTCTGGCCTGCTCACACCTTTGGAGGGCTCCATCCCCAGCTGATATTTGACAGCAATCACATGAGAAACCCTAAGGGAGAATTGCCCAGCTCTGCCCAATCAACTCACAGATCAGCGAGAAAGTACTAAATGGTTGTTTTAGGCCACTAAGTTTGGGGATGGTTTGTTATGTTGTAAAAGCTAACTGGAACTGAAAATGACTTAGACCAGTTTCCATATAATTGCAGAGTGGGAACTAGAAGACCCTAAAGCTAGTCTAATCTCATTATAATGTGTTAAGGGAACATACAGAGTTAAATAAGACCCATTCTCAGTCCCCTGGTAGCTCAAAATTCCAAAATCTTTTATTCTTTCAATATTTATGTGAAATACAGAATTTTCAAAATCCTTAAATATTTAAAACAGATTCTTACAGCTCTGTCTGTGTAATAATAAGCCATCATTTGGTAACAAGTTAAGGTAGTATTCTCAAGTGTTTCTTGAAGGCAGTACCTTAGTAACAAGTGTCATGAAAGAAAGAGTTCCTCAGGTAACCTGATTTGGGGAAATTCTAACAAATTAAATTAAAGAGGTGTCTTTATCTCTGGGTATTTCAGAAATATAAAATCTTCAAGAGGAGAAATAGCTATAACTTTTGCTTAAAACTATGTCCCTTCAAGGGGTCCTTCTTTATTGAGCATCTCATGAGGTTTGTGTTTCATAGAAACCTTACACTAAGAAATAGGAACAGGGATGAAACTTATTAACAGAAACCAGCTTTTACTTCCAGAATATTTCAGCAAAAAAAGTTGTTTTCATAAATTTGGTGTGCCTTCAGCTTAGAGATCACATTTTTACACAAAACTTTTACGATTGTCAGGGACCACACTTAGGTGGCTTTAGTGACCTGCTCCCTCTGCTTTGCTTTCTTACTTTTAACCTTTTCCTGTGGGAATAGCTAATAGATATTTGAGGAATGAGTATAAGAAAGAATAAATAAAACTAGATAAATAATAATTAATTGAATGAATTAGTTAAAAATTTTGAACCTGAAAATCATCTCTAACTCTAATTAGTTTGAGTTTTGTACCTTTATTCCCACATAAGGCCAATGGGAATTTTAACAGGTGCCCTGTCTCCTTGGGAAGTTCAAAGGACATTTCAAGTTGGATGTGGGGCAGTTTTAGGGCTGAAATGATCTTGGTAATCATCTATTTATCCACCCCTTTTATTTTCTACATGTGAAGACTGGAACCCAGAAAAAGAGTATATAGTGCAAATGCTAGTTACATTGGAAAGTTCCTTCCCAGTGGATCCATATTAAAGGTGTGGGGAAAGTCCTCTGTTTTAGTAGATGTTATATTAAATGCTGTGATTCTAATTTGGATAGTGACTATTTCTAACTCACAAGTTTTATAAGAAGTTTGGGCACCAAAACACGTATTTCACCAGAGTTCATGGCCAATATAGGGAGGTGTGGCAGTCAAAACATTTACTAAGCAGTATGGCATGGGCACTGACAATGAGAATAAATTCTAGCCATAAATAAGTAGTGCAATCATAGTGATGAGTACTAGCAGTATATCAGCTCTAGTATACAGATCTAGCCAATCACATTTCCCCCTTCCTGCTACTGGTTCCTGACCTTTAGAATACTATTACCTTACTGGTGCTAGAAATTCTTCCATTCAGGCTCTCTCTTATGCTGTGGCTGCATTATTGATGCCCATAGTACAATAGGTTCCATTATCTGTCTCCTGGGAAACACCCAACACTTCATGGCTCCTTTAGCAATATGCTACCCTGCCCCCCACATCATGGGATATTTCCATGTTTCCAGTTTTTTGGGGTTTTTAAAAATATTTTATTTTTCCCTTTTCTCCCCAAAGCTCCCTGGTACATAATTGCATATTTTCAGTTGTGGGTCCTTCTAGTTGTGGCATGTGGGATGCCACCTCAGCAAGTCTTGATGAGTGGTGCCATGTCCGTGCCCAGGATCCAAACTGGTGAAACCCTGGGCCGCCAAAGCAGAGCGTGCCAACTTAACCACTTGGCCACAGGGGCGGCCCCATCCACGTTTCCAGTTTTGAAGCAAAAGGAAATTATACTTTGATCATCTCCTCTTGCCCCTGCTAGGACATAGACCAATCCACTATCTTTACTTAATTTTTCTGGATCTCTCTACCCCTATATATCCTACACTCTTGCTCTGTAGTCACCTTATATAGTTGATTATGATTTGAAAGCCTGAAGGAGTACTAAGCCATGAAAAAAATGATAGAGAAACAATAAAATGTCATGGGATAGAGTATTTGATACTTTTAAGATAGGGAAGAAAATATTTGTAAGGATAAAAGAAAGTATCTGCATTTAATCAAGTTTTTTTGTGTAGCTCTGAAAAAAATGCATTTAAAAAGAAACAATATTGATCATAGTTTCATAGCTCTTTCTAAATAAATTGTTCCTTTTCCAAGCCATTGGGGGATGGTTTATACAATTTGACATAAATACCTTGATATTACCTTGGTCCAACTCTGCTTCATTTGTAATAAGTTGTCACAAATTTTTATTTGACTACAATTCAACTGTTAATGGGGAATGAGAGCCTCATTCTCCTGGATTTAGAGTAGTTACAGTTCTAGCACACTTACCTCTACGAGCCTGCTGGTGTGTTCACGAAATATCGCAGCATATTCTTTTATTTCCTTTTCCCGGCCATTCTTGGCAGCTTCAATAAGAACCAAAAGTGGGACTGTCGTATCCAAAAAGGAGTCTGACACATGATCTATAATAGCCTTACGGAGCTGAGAAGAAATAAAAAAATTCAGGGTTTTTTTTTTTCTTCTTTTTCAGGAAGTAGTTCATGCTATTTCCTATTTTTACAATCTCAGCAGTTAAAAATTTCATTTTATATATTTTTTGCACAATCTCTAAAATCATAACATTTAAGACTGTGTATGAAAGTCACTTGCAAAGCTAAAACAAGCAAAATATCCAAGAAAAAAAATCATTGAGCAATGGCTCTCTTGCTCTCAAAACTCACTAATCTTTTCTTAAATTGTACCTAGCCCAGAGGTCAGATAATACGTGATAATATCCCTTTTTTCCCTCAAAGAAATTACTCTATTGTAATGTTTATGAATATGTACAAACAACATCGTACATGATGTATTTTCATAATTACAAAATTATAAAATGTTTTCTACTTTGTTGGAAGAACTGATGATATAATTTGATTAGGTAAATTGTAGACTTCATGGTAATTAAACCAAGTTAGATCACCGATTATGCCAGCTGATAATAGATTAATAGAGCGAGGAGAATAATAGATGAGTTTGATGTCCAATTTTCTCTGTTTGCATTAATTGTTCTTGCCCTCACATCTTAAATTATTAAACAAGTATAACATTCTGCTACAATTAGTTCTTTTAAATTAGATTACACGTAAGCTTATAAATGACAATCAGGCAATTACTCTACTCAGCACATATTTTCTGAAATTTAAGCTGTGTTGGAAAATCATTGTACTTATAGAATATTGAGCCCTTAAGGATCACAGTATCTTGAAATGTTTCATTAGCAATGTCAATGACTATGAATGACCCCAAAGTTTTTTTGGTCAACCTTTTCATTTAATTTAATAACCTCTATACAATAAAACAAAGAGATGAATAGATATAAGACAGGAAATCTACAATTTGCCTTTCATGAAAATTATACTTTATGGTATTCTTTTAAAACCAATAAACACTTATCCTAGTTTTGGATTACATGGGAATAATACCTTTTCGAGGGGTTGAATGATGTAGTTGCTTCCTATAACAATGATAGGAAAATAAATCCATAATAATTATAGATTTTTAAGAGAAAATATACCTGCTTAAGATGGTAGAGCTTACTCAAAAGAACTGAAATTTTCTGGCTACCAATAATTTCACAATGGCTCTAGGAAGATTCTCAAAGAAAGATTCTGCTTGGCATGCAGAAAGGCAAATCACTAATGGCAACTAATTAATATTTACTGAGCACTTACTGGGGCAGGGTGCAGAGTGCGAAGGGGTTACAAGGCAAGGGGAAGACCTTGAGTAAACGAACAACGTGTTTGATGTCTATGAAGAGTGGACCAGGGAAGTCAGGCAAGAGATCATAAATTAGCTGGGAACCACAAGTTATTTAGTTCCACATACATAAGACAAAAGTAGAAGGAGTCTCTCAGATGAGGAACAGTTTTCAATGATCATCCCTCCCCTTTATCTTTTTCTTCTTTCATTTGTAACCAGGACATGTAGAAGGAAGGCAAGGAGGAGATCTGCATTAGAAATAGGTGATTTAAAGCCTGCATACACATGGGAGGTAATTCAAGCTGAGGATGCAGGTAGAATCATTTGGAGAAAGACACACAGTGAGGAGAGGTCCAAGAATGAAATCTTATGAAATACTACAATTTGTGGGAGTCATGCAGATGGAAGGGTAAGACCTTAAAAGAAAATGAGATCATGGCCAAGAAACAAAGAGAGCAAATGACCAAAACTAAACGATAAACTTTCAAATAAATCTCTATATCAGTACTCTTCAAATGAACTTCAAATGAAATTAGGTTTCATTTGAAATACTCTTCAAATGAAATTATGTTTGTTAGGATAACTAACAAATGTAATTTTAATGCCCAAATCATGGACTTGCTGAATCTTCTTTTCTGTGTATTTGATTTCATTCAATTCAACAAATATTTCTGAAGACCATTTCCTTACCTTTTAATCAAAAGCAAGGTATCATTAGAAACATCAAGACAGAAGCACATGGTCCCTCATAATCTAGTGTAGGAGTGAGAATCATTACATATTACAATAAAGGAAAACCAGGAGATTGAGAGCAAAGAAATTTGAAGAAAATAATAGGTTTCAGTGTCTAATTTTAAAGATAAGTTAAATAAAAAGAACCAAGATTTATCTATTGGATTTGACCACTAGGAGGTTATTGATGAAATTAGCAAGAATAGTTTCAGTGGAAAAGTAGAAGCAGGAGTCCTACCACTATGGTTTGAAGAGTACATGGAAGAAAAGGAGGTGGAGACATTGAGAAAAAACTCATTTCCGGTACAGCCTGCATCACTTAACATCAGGGATACGTTCTGAGAAATGCGTTGCTAGGTGATTTCATTGTTGTGCAAAACATCACAGAGTGTACTTACACAAAACTAGATAGTATAGCCTACTACACACCTAGGTTATATGGTAGTAATCTCATGGGACCACTGTTGTATATATGGTCCATCCTCGAATGAAAGATCATTATGCAATGCTGTAATTTGATTGTGACGTGAAGAAGCAAGACTTGGTATTAACTACATTGAGACACAGGTTTAAAAAGCAATCGTTTCTCATGTAAAAGACTTTGATGTATGTTCTCATCTACAACTATACCCAGAAAGTCAAGTTGTCCTCTTGTGCTTTTCAAAAAATACATTTTGATTTATCATCACACAAAAATCTAGAGAGACAGAGATAACCATTATCTTACATTGTGCCAATTTTTGTAACCCCTTAAATAATTATAGCAATCTTCCTCCAGCACAGGATGCATTTGCTATGGTCTCGCTTCTCCCTTTTGTGGTGCCATGTTTTGTCTTCTCTTCATTTTAATGGCATTTACTTCCCTGTTCTTTTATTTCTTGAAAGTTTCAACTATATTTTCCCTGCTATTCGCTCAGTCCTTCATCCCACTTACAAGTGTTGAAACACATTGGAAGAGTGAGGCTTGAGGTATAGCTGATTTACTATTAATTAAACAATAAATAAATAAACTCTTTGGATAAATTATTTTTTAAAAAATTAAAGCAAATTAGGATCACATTATTTGTTTCCTTCTAAGGCATGTTGCTAACTACATAACACAGTGAGTGAGAAAAGGCCTAGCACAGGGGGTGATATTACATTCAGTAGGACAAAACAGAAGGACTGGAAAATGAGCTTTCAAATAAGTTTGGTGCCAGTGTTTTCAAAATTATGTTGGAAAATGGTCTCAAATTACCTGATGTAATAGAATGTCAGATATAATGAGAAAAATAAATCTTCTTTTCTGTAGTTGTATATTCATTCCATTTAACAAATGCATTTTGAACTTTCTCCCTAAGGGCAAGGCACCATTCTAGGCAAGCCGGGGAATGCCAACATGACAAAAACAGGGTAACTGTTAGGGAGTGAGAGATACACAGAGTTGATGAGTATCTTAAAAGAAGTGCAAACAAATAAGAAATAATTAGCTCTGATTGTCCTGGTGAAGAAGGTTTCTGTAAGGATGGGACATATGTATTCCATTTTAAAAGCTGAATAGGATGTTAAGAGTTGGAGCAAGGAAGTGGGAAGCATAGCATTTTAGGAATAGAGACTATCATAGGCAAAGAAAATAGAGGAATCCTCAAGGCATCACAAATATCTAGTGTGGTTTGAACATAGTGATAGAGTAAGGATTGAAATAGGACTTTATCGGTATAATGGAAGTACTGGAAAGCATTTCAGGTAAAGAACAAATAAGACAAAAAGATTAAAAGATGACAGAAAGAAATGGCCAGAAATTGGTGACTTGTGTGCAACTTTAACATACTTGTGATAACTTTAAGACAAACTTATGATACTTTAAGAGAGCACAGTCAGCAGGCAGGGAGAAATTTTTCCATTTGAAAGCATTTTAACCCATGCAAAGAACAAACAGTGCAATTAACTCAACCAACCCATGATTTTCTTACCAGATTGTCTTGCTGGTTCCAGATCATTTACCATCACATTCATAGCTATGATTATGGACTTTATTCGGGGCTTTTGGTGCTTTACTTCTCATCTATGGGACCAGGCTCTGATTTCAGCTGTTACTATGGAAAACAGTTCCTTGGCCTCTGAAGATATCCCACCTCAAGTGCATCCCATGCTTGTCTTTGTTATTCTTTCTCAGGGCCTGCTCCAAGTCTCTGTAAGATTCTCAGCCCAAGCACAAACAGCCTGGAAGTTCTGGAGAGTCAACACCCCTGGGAGCAATGCTCCACCAATGGGCATGGAAGCTACTGGAAAAACTTCCCAGCCTCCATCCATTGGTCAGACAATTCGGGGAGGCATTGGGCCCCTTCTCAGAGGTCCTTAAGCTCTGGTTGCCTATAGCAGGAACCTCAATAACATATCCTTTCCTCCTTCCCTGCCTGTTTTCTTACACATCATGTTCTCTTATACTTGCTTCTTGGAATCACCTCCCAAATAAACTACTTGCACTAAGGTCCCAGTCTCAATATGCACCTTCAGGGGAATCCAATACAAAATAGACACATTTGTCTGGTGTTAATGTTCTCTGGTCATGTACCAAGTAACAGACCAACATCTTAAATAAACTACTCATTGGTGATCACACTTTTCACTTCTGCTTTGCATATCACTGGGTTGATTCTGCCATTCCTTATATTATGATGACTGTGAAACAGAAATTATTATGAGCTAGGACTAGAAATGCAGATGAGGACAAGATATGGAAGACCTTGAATGCTATGCTAAGTAATTTTCTTTATGTGTTCTGACATTCATTGGGATTTTTTTTCATTTAAATTACACAATCATCTATATATATATGTGTGATATCTAAGTAGTCTCTATCTTACTTATTTCCGTATCATTTTCATGCCCAATGGAACAACTCATTCTTTTCACTCGGGTGATATACAAAACACTTTAAAGGAGAATTCAATTTACCAGTGTAGAAATAGGACACTCTTAGAAGCCGCAGCACTAAAAATCTGAAGTTAGTGGGAGGCCAATAGGAGTAAGAGGTATGTATTTTCGACAAATACCTGTTTTTTGCAGCCAGGCATGAAAGATGTGAGGCACAAAACCAAACTGAGGGACTCTCCATCTTTTTTCACTACAGTTTAATAAAAGGCTTTGAGACATCAATTTTTCTATTTCCCACTAATATAAGTGGTCTGAGATCTCAAATAAAATAATATATTTCTCCACAATTGAAACCCCCAAGTGAAAACTAGAAGAAATCCTGCCCCCTCCACCACCAAATAAGGGAATAGAAAGAACGAAATAGCAAAGGGAAGAAGAATGGAAAGAAGAGGAAGTGTGTTTTAGAAAAGAATCATCTTCAGGGCCGGTCGGGTGACACTGCAGTTAACTTCACAGGTTCTGCTTTGGCGGCCCGAGTTTGCTGGTTTGGATCCCAGGTGCGGACATGGCACAGCTTGGCAAACCATGCTAGCATCCCGTGTATAAAGTGGAGGAACATGGGCACGGATGTTAGCTCAGGGCCAGTCTTCCTCAGGGAAAAAAAGAGGAGGATTGGCAGCAGATGTTAGCTCAGGGCTAATCTTCCTCAAAAGGAAATGCAAAAAAGAAAGAAAAAAAGAAAAGAATCATCTTCAGTGAACTAGAAAAACATATATTTGTGTATATTAATACCATTTTAATTTTAAGTAAAATAGCAAAATATGACTTTCTGAACTCAATTGACTAATAGGAACTAAATCAACTAATAATTAATTCAGCATATACTTACTGTGCCAATTTAGTGGGACTTACATCTTATGAGTACCTAACATTTTTTGATGAAGAGGAGGAGAAGGTATAAAAACCTATATTTTTTTCTGAGTGTGGCACTGGTACCACAAACATGGAGAAGAGAAGGATATAGCAATTTAGCAACTCAGCAACTAAAGAATTAATCAAGTTTTTGTTTCGTTTGTTTTTACCAGAATTTTATTTTATTTAACATACTTCAAGTCCTTACTTTCATATTTACAAAATAGATATTTTTTCCTCAATATACACAAATAAAAATTTTAACCTGCCTTTAGTGAAATCAAATGTATATTTCACTCTGCATAATACAGTAGAAATGGAATATATTTGATTGTTTTCATTTTTTAATGAAGTAAAGGAGGTTTAGGAATCCTTCTCCCTTATTAAGAATTTCAATAGCTATGCAGTTCTCAAATGAATGCTGGGAAATAAGACTAAAAGAAGAAGAAAATTTAAATTTAAAAAGACATGTAAAGTAAATAATAAGGAAGGAAATAATTATGACAGTAAAATCAGTGTATTAGGCAGTGGGGGTTCTGAAGGTGAACAAGCCATTTTCCCTGGCCTCTGGCATGATGGTTACAAATTTGGGCTGGGGTTGGATACCCCAGACTCAAACCTCACCTCTACCAGTTAGCTGGGTGATGTTCAGTAAATTGACTCCCCCAAGAGATGGAGATAATAATACTATGGCACTATTTCTTATTTCAGGGACAAAAATCAATAATGTAAAGACAACAGTTGGTAGAGAGCTTTGGAAAGCATTTACTAAAGGAGAAGCGTTGTCATAACTATCGTTTTAAGGATTTACAATCCAGTGGGAAGAAAGATCTATTATAAAAGAAAATACAAGCAGAATATGACCATTGCAGTAACAGAATTACACGTGCTATAAGTCCTCTGGGAAGAAAAAGATTAATTCCAGCTGGTGAAAATGGCAAAGGTTTCATAAAAGAAATAGGATTTACATTAGTCTTGAACTTCCTGAGTTGATTAGGAGTTGGGTTGGGAGAGTAAGGGGTGCTGTGAAGGCACCAAGTTGAACAGGCCATGTATACAAAAGACACGTGTGTTTGGCGTTGAGGAGGTAGGTGACGGAAAATTTGGTGACTAGTGAGTAGACTCTTTAATCAGAGAACAGGTTATGTGCTGGTGTGACGAGGAGAAGGAACTGAGAAAGAAAGCAGAAGGGGAAGGAACATTAAGAAAAATGGGGAGTAAGTCAGGGCCAAATTACAGAGAACTTGGAACACCATGCCAAGGACTTTTGCCTTTGTTCTCTAGTACAGCAGGAAAGAAAGTCACAGAGCAAGAAGGATGAAACAAATAAACACTAACTCATCTCCTAGGACACTTCATCTTATTGCCCCAAAATATATAACCTGCTTCTCCCCAGATATGTCTAAGCTATCTCTCTCATTCCTCAAGGAAGTCCAATGATTCTCTGAAGCAAAGCTAAAATGCTTGTATACTGCTGATGGACAAGCCATGGGTGAGCATGGGCAGGAAGATGGGCTCTGCTTATTTTTTACTAAAAACAAACAAACAAACAAACACAGATCTAGAACAAGACATGAACATTAAATATTCCAAAGAAAAACATTTTAAAAGTAGGGGCTTTCTCCTTCCTGTGTGAAAGAGGGTATATATGCTTAAGACTGCTTGATAAACTTTGTGAGAATAAGAAGAGGTGGAGACGACTCGTGTTGCGGTTTAAACTAGTTTTTATTATTGCCCAAGGCATAAACCCCAAGATGGGAAATGAAGTCCTAGGGAGCACAGGTAAGGATACTGAGAACAAGGCACAGCAGCTACCTCATTGACATTGAAGACTATGGGTGTCGCCAAAGACAGCTCCTAACAATCCCACCCCTTCCTGTACACACAGGCCACTTCTCCCACAAGAGACAGAGCTGCTACTTGCTCCTGTGGAACTGGGGCAGGGTTTGTGACTATTTTCATCTATGGAAAGTGGAGGAAACAGCATTCTGGTGACTTTAGAGCTCAGGCATTAAGAAGGCCTGGCAGCTTCCATCTCTCCTTTCTTGGAACCTTGAACCATCATGTAAGACATGCAGGCTACCCTCCTTGAGAGAGAAGCCACATAAAGAGGCCCTAGAAGATTAGTCACCACCTGGAGAGAGGGAAGAAGAAGAAGCACTGAGCTCTCAAATGTCCAGCCCTGAACCCAGATACAGTCACCACTTGACTGTCACTATGTGGGAGACCACAAGTGAAAACACTACGGAAATGGACCTGCTGACCCCCAGCCAACCCAGAATCGTGAAACATAATAAAATGGTTGCTATTGTTTGTGGTGGTTTGTTAAGCAGCAATACTTAACCAAGACAATGAAGATGTTGACCTGTGAAACCAAAGGGAATTTTCATACCTCTGGAACACAACAGTTCTCTACAAGCTGGAAACATTCCCTTACTAGGAAGAAAAGTATTAGTAATCGGCAGTGTTCTTACTGTATCTCGCTGATGGTGGTGAGGTAGAAATACAAGTAGGATTATGAGATAAAATATAAGATGGCTGATTAAACTTGAATTTCAAATAAACACAACTCTTTTTAAAATATAACTATGTCCCATGCAATATTTGGGAGATATTTATACTAAAACATATTTGTTTTTAATCTGCAATTCAAATTTAACTGGGCATTCTATGCTTTTATTTGCTAAATCTGGTAATCCTACACACAAGGATTGCTTTATCTTCACTTAAGAAAAAATAATTATTCCAAAAACGTTGGAGGTGTAAATGTAGATGAGTTTTTTGTGCATAACCTTGTTGAAGGCAGTGACTTTGTTGAAGGAATGAGACTGGAATTAGACACGATTGTTGATGGTTCATAGAAACAACTTTCCCAAGTCCTGAGAGGAGCGGATGGAGTAGAAATCCGAAGGAAGATCCAGAATGGAAGTCATGCAATGAACAGGGAGGGTGGCCCTGAGGACGCGCTCCTGAGTCTGCCGTGGGTTATGACCTGATATGCGTTCAGCGCTCGTTCTGCCTTAGGTAGGTCACCTCGCCACGCTGGCCTGCTTTCTTATCTGCACCATAAGACAGGTTGTGCTAAGTTCCTTCCAACTCTTACATTCCATGATTCTAAGTGCTGACAGTAGAAATAGAATTCACATTAAGGCCATAAAGTTGAGAAATTGGAATTTTCCCAGCCTTCAAAATTATGTTTTTTCAAACAGCTAATGCTAACTGGCTGGGGATCCCTATTTATTCCATTTCCAAATCTACTTCTGAATTAAAAGATTGCTCAGGCCATTTTACTAAATCTTGCCATTAAACTGTAGTAATATAGTGCATTAAAAGCTTACGGTTGAAAAGCTTTTGCCCCTCTTTTGTGAGTTAATGGTGACCACGTTGAAGTTGTACATGAAAAAGAACTCTGGTTATTAAAGAGTAGAAGGGAACGGAAGGCAAATGTCTTCAAAAATAGCTAAGTCTCCATATTTCTAGGGAAAAAAAATTTTAACTCCTAGCATAATACTGGACTTCTAAATTATTAAAGAAATCCTTTCTAATCCTATGTTCCCGAAGGCCTAAGGTTAAAAAGTAGCCTTAACTTAAACAGAAACTAATTTTTGAAGCATCCTGAAAATAATTGGAAGGGGAAAGTGGTGAGCTCTCTGAATTACTGGCTGTTTACTGTAAGCATTTGGATGACAAACCCAGTTATTAATATAATAGAATCAATTCACCAACATTCCCTAAAAACTCACTGCATACCAGGCACTGATAGGCATTTCATTCAATCCTCGCAGCCTTATTAGGTATTATAAACTCTATTTTATGGGTTCAGAGAGGCTCAGGAAGATGAAATCTGTCCCCAAGATCACACAGCTGATGAGGGCAGAGCTAGCATTTGAATGTCACTGCCTGACATGAAGTCAAACGCTCTTTCTTCTGTGTTATGTTTGCCGCAAAATCGGTTGAGGTACGTAAATGTGGAAAGTATATATTTATTATTCTTGCTTTGTGTTCTAAATTAATTTGAAAAAAACAAAAGCAAGAAATAAATACTCCAGCAAGGGAAAAAAGCTTGTCTTTGCATGACGTTTCTGTTTGCACGTCTCTCTCTTCCCTCACCTGTCTGCGAAGGTCTCTGGTCTTCTTGCACATGTTGTCTATTGCAATATTCAGGGTATTACTCCTTTCCTTTTTTCCAGTCTGCAAGGGAGAAAAAAAATGGCATGAACAATGGTATCAAATTATTCTTTATCACTTAGCAATTTGCTTTCTAAATTTCCTGAATATAACAGCTTGAAAATTCAAGAATAGGTTTCAAAACTGCTATGATATTGCATATGATTCATAAGCACTTCACTTAAGACTAAGTAGAATGGTGATTAAAGCTCACATTATTTTCTTCTTTAAGCTTCTGTAATATTTCTGATACAGAGTTGAGCTGCATTTAGTGTGGCAGTAGGCAGAGCTTTATCTTCAAGGAACTGCGATCTTCATTCTTAACAAGTCGACTCTAACCGCTAAGCATTCAATTAGCTTAAAAGCATTAGATGCCCAATTTGTCAACTTCTGTGGGAGTTTCTGAAGTCATTTTCACGGTGTATTGTGTAAGTTATGCAGAGCCATATTGGAGTTTTGCTAAACACTAAATAAAATATGCAGTGCAAATTCATACAATTTGCAAAAGTTGACCACAATTTTAGCTGACAATATTCCAAGAACAAATTGTTTCAAGTAAGAACTGGATGCTGTTTTTGGCTTTTTAAAACAATTTGTGCAACACCTTTTCCTTCTTTAAGCAGAACAATTCTCTCTGTTATATCCTTAACCTAAATCTTTAGGCTATTAAGCACATAGAGAGTCACCTTGGTTGGTATTTTCTACATATTACTTTTGTGAGAGACAACTGAATTGAATCTGATCACACTTTTTTTCAGTGATATCTTATATAAAAGAGATTGAAAAAAATTATTATGTGGTTCACCTCTAGGAATATTGCTACTATTTAAATTGATAAACTGAAAAGTGCTGTTGGGAGGAGACCTTGAAAATGTGTAAGGCAAGTTTAAGCAGCTGATAACTGAGGGAATTTACAGGATGAACTCCATGAGGAAAGACATGGAGGGAAAGTATAGACCATTAGGCAGCATGCCATACGTTACCCCCAAAGACTAAACCCGTACATCAATCTATATCTTCAAGTGAAAAGACTCCTTTACAAGATGTTCAAAACCATCTGTACCCTATCCAAACCTAACTTTTCAGTCCTATCTTCTGCAACATCTTCTCAAGTGCTATCATTTACAGTGACAACATTCCTATACTTTTCTATCCCCTCTCCCAAGTTCTTGCATATAATGTACCTTTGACTTCAGCAAGTGTCTCCCCAAATAACCCCCTGTTGAAATCCTACCTGTTCCTCAATGGTTTCCTCAGAGTTCCCCCGCCCCCAACAATTCTGCTCAAGAGTAAACTGTCACCTCTCCTTGTTCCAATAGCATTTTGAAAATTTCCCAGTATACTCATTTTGTTACTGGGCATTCCCATCACTCTTACTATTCTGTTAGAATCTTGATGTTGGCAGGTGTATCTTATTTTTTTTTCCCTTCCTGATAGTAACTTGCATAGGACTTATTGAATTACCTCAATTAGTTTATAAATGAATAACTTGATTCAAAACACAACATCCTTCCATTAGGGGCTTATTATATGCCAGAAATATGTCATAATAAATTCTGGAGAAGATTTTAGCATCTACCCATGAAGGCAGATCTAAAATACTCTCTTAGCTGAGGTTGCTTCTACCCACCTAAACCTTGGTTAGACCTAGATTTTTCAGGTAGCAGTGTTATTGATATTTAAGATGGGAAAAATTGCCCCATTTGAGACCATCATCTTATACACTGCAAGATGTTTGGCAGCATTGGACCCCTTTCTGCTAAATTTCAATAACTACTCCCAGGCAATATGACAGCCAAAAACTGGCCCTACACATTTCCAGATGCCTCCTACAGTGAAACACAGCACAGGAGTACTAAGTCCTTTACCACACGTTATTTTTGAGAGTGAGCATGCAGTATGTGCATAATGGAGACTGTGTCTGATGCAGGGAGGGGGAGAAGATGGAAGGAGAGAGAGGAGAGAGAAATAAAGCTCCGGATGTCAGAGCAATAACAGCCATGGTGGCAATCACCCAGATAAAAGTTGTGGCTACTTTCACAGCTCCCACCCAGCATTCTCCACGCCAGCAGTGGAGAATTATGAGAAGTTCCTGCAGGGCAATATAAGGCGGTGGCATAAACAGATAAACAATGGGCTATAAGACAGTTTCCAATTTTACCGAAAGAATCTACTCCTTATTCTCCAGTTTCAGGCAGTATTAGCTCTTGGTTGTAACTCTTTCCACTTCATGAAAGCAGAGATAGTCAAAAGGGGGCAGAAATGGGACAGGCAAAGACACACACACACACACACACACACACACACACAGGGCATTAGGAATAATGTGGGAGACTCCCATTGTGTTGGCCATAAAAACTCACTAGCTTCTATGACGTGATTCATCAGAACAACTAAAAGATGCCAGCCTTCTCAGAGCTAGCAGCAGTGGCACACAAAACGTTAATAAAGGATGACAGGAGGTGACAGCATGAAGAGATTCAATAAGAACTATAAAGATGATTTCCTAGTTTCTACCCAGAGCTTAACCTTAGTTTAAAACGTTTCACTGGGTCAAAGACATTTTGTTCTCAAGGTAATAATAAACAGTCCTATCATTACAGAAAGTATATTCTCCCTTCTTTCTTCCTTTTCTCTCTCTCCTCTCCCCCATCTTTCTTCTTTTTCACCTCCAGCTTTTTATTGGGTCCTTGCTCTATTTATCCAGATTTATTTGGCTTTAGTCAAACCATTTTATGCCTCTTTATTCCTTTTGCATGGCATAAAAACAAATAAAGCAAGGAGAAATAGCCCATCTTGCTTAAAAGCCTTCGTTCCTTCTGTTTTCAAAGCCTTAACAAATCATGAAGCAATGAGCTAGGACTGAAGGTGAATTGTGTGCGCTGAGGTAAGGGACAGAAAGGGCAGGATATTAAAGCACAACCACAGATAACAGTCAAAGCCTGCCTATATCCCACGTGCTCAGAAGAGAGGATGTTCCTTAAAGGCAGCCTTGACAGGAGCCATCATTAAGTCAATACAGCCCTGCTAATGGAAAATGTACCACTTACACTGGAGTGCCGAGGAAAGATGCTGAGAAAACATGGCATGGATCAGCACTGTAGAGGGAAAGCAATCACATTCCTCATCAGAAAATAAACTGCCAGGAAAGACTTTATTGAAAAGAACAGCTCTGAGCACAGACTTGATTCAATGAGATTTCAATAAAATTATTGCTGCACGTTATAAATACTGTCCCAATGTGATCCAGGCTTAAAATCTTAACTATGAGTCTTTCCATCAATTCTGCCTCGCCACTGCTCCCATGTAACTACCACAGTTAACTGCTCTCTCTTGTTCTTCCCTAAAAGCTGCCCTCACATTTGAAAAAAGTTTTTTGTAAATAAACTCTCCTTGAATTATCCTAATTTGAGTGTTCCATCTGTTTCCTGTTGGGACCCTGCTAGAGAGAACTTTCTAACACTGTGTTGTCCACTATGATAGCCATGGGTCACATGTGGCCATTTAAATTTAAATTAAATTAAAATTAAATAACATTAAAAATTCAATTCCTCAGTTCCTTAATTTAAAGAGGAACAATAGTCACATGTATCTAGTGGCTACTGTATTATACAGCACAGATATAGAACATTTCCCTTATCACAGAAAGATGTATTAGCCTGCACTGTTCTAAAACATATCTTTGTTTCTTCAAATGTACGAGTTCCTACTTTTACACGTAACCTTTTATTTGAGAATAAAATAACAAGGAAGAAACAAACAAACAAAATTTCAACCCTCAAGGTGTTTACTCTCTGGTAAAGAAACTTGCGGTCCAATTATGTCCCTTCTTTGTGCTAAAATCCTTCTCTCTATTCCCATTGCCGATGGAATTAAGAGCAATCTCTTGATCATGTTGTTCAAGGCCCCACATGATTTACTACTGTACTTACTCATCAATCATTAATGGATACCTTAATGGATCCTTTATTTTCTATGCAATACAATCATAGCCTAGGAACTCTGCTCATATAAAAACCTCACTTGGCACTTCTTGTCTCCTATCTTTCTGATTATAGACCTAAGATTTAAATCAGTTACTAAATTTTACATGGAGGCTTTTTTGATCTTCTCAGCTGGAATTAATTATTCTCTTTCATTATACTTTCTTGTACTCCTTATTTTTTATAACACTTGGTTCAATAAACAGTTCAATCTCTTCAATAAATCTTTATTATTTACTATGTGCCAGGCGCTATACTAAGGACGAGTGCTACATTAGACCAAGTGCCTGCCTTTGAGGAGCACACATCTGATGGTAGAAACAGACATACACATAGTATTTAATAGAGGTATCCAGGGGCTGGCCCCGTGGCTGAGTGGTTAAGTTCGCGCACTCTGCTGCAGGCAGCCCAGTGTTTCGTTGGTTCGAATCCTGGGCGCGGACAGGGCACTGCTCCTCAGACCACGCTGAGGCAGCGTCCCACATGCCACAACTGGAAGGACTCACAACGAAGAATATACAACTATGAACCGGGGGGCTTTAGGGAGAAAAAGGAAAAAAATAAAATCTTTAAAAAAAAAAAAAAAAATAGAGGTATCCAGGGTAACACATGGATCAGTGGGAGCAGCACTCCCAATAAGGATGGAGGAAAGGTTCCTGAGGAGGTAACAAATGAGTACTGAAGCATACGTAGGAGTCAGCCAGGCCAAGGTGAAAAAGAAGGCCATTTTCAGGAGACAGAGAGAGCTTGAGCAATGGCAAAAGTCCTTAAGGAATATTTGGTAACCAGTATAAAAAGTATGAGGGAAGGCCAAAACCTGGAGGTTTGTGCCACATTAAGAAATGAGGTTGATCCGATAGACAACTAGGAGTCGTACAAATTAAGTAGGTGAGCCACACAGACAGATGTTATTTCAAATACACCAATCTGGATGGAGTCTGCACAATGTATTTTAAGAGATTAAGAACAGAGAGAGAAGGAAAAGTTAGATGGTCATAGCAACAGTTCGCAAAAGATGAAAAGTGTTAAAATTAATGCATT